CACCTTTTTAAAATTCAAGTCTCAATTGTTTTTAGATGTATTGAGCTGAAAAAGGACAATCTGACAGCTCTCATGGCTTTAGCTGTGAGCTTCACCAATGAGTCACTGCACAGACAGGCCTGCGAGACACTCCGTGATTGGTTGAGGCACAACCCTAAATACCGGCATGTCCTCGAGCAGCATGAACGAGAGAAGGAGCAGGAGAGTGTGAGGGAGAGGGAGAAAGAGAGGGAGAGATTTGGATCCCTTCTGCCAGAGTAAGAGGTTTCCTCAGTACACTGCATGATGAGGGACACTACATTTTGTTGGTTGCACCAGACACACCACACTGAAATCTCATTGACTGAAGTATGGCTTGGAGTCATTAAGATTTTTTTTTAAAGACATTAAAACTTTTTTCCAGCAAGGTTGCAATTAACTACATAAAATGATTGAAAATACATTTATGAAGTTACAGAAGATTCGTTTAAAATAATTGCTGTTCTTTTGAACTTTCCATTCATTGAAGAATCCAATAAAAATGTATCACAGTTTTCACAAAAATATATTAAGCAGCACTACTGTTTTCAACATTGTTAATAGTAAGAAATGTTTCTTGAACACCCAATCAACATATTAGAATGATTTCTGAAGGATCATGTGACACTAAAGACTGGAGTAATGATGCTGAAAATTAAGCTTTACCATCAAAGGATTACATTTTTGTTTATTCCTGAAAGTGTTTATGTGGAACTTGAAAAATATTGGATATTATATGACAAAAATTAGGGAGAATCATAAAAAAATGCAGTATGTAGAAGCATCATGGAAATTATGAAAATAGAAGGCAACATTTTTGCATTTAGTGTGGGTGGACAAATGGTTAGGACACAGTGTAAGTGTCACTGTAACATTGAGGGACGAGTCAGAATTATTTTACCAAAGACTTTAACTTGTATTGAATTCCTTTTTAAACCGTTTTTATGATTGCGCAACACTGTGAACTGATCAGACGTGGAAGCAGCCTGTTTTTAATGCCTCTTTTACATTAATGTGAGACATGCATAAGTGACTGGACAGGGCGTTGTAGCCAAGCAACAGATTTACATTTGTCACCAATCATAAGCGTGCAGTGCTCTAAAAATACACAATCTTATGCAAACACAGGTGTGGAGTTCAATCTGCAGACAGCATTGTGAGTAGCTGCATATGCTCTGTTTTAATCAGTTGAGAGTGCAGATATTAAAATACATTTTTGTATGACTCCGGAATGATTATGCACTTTCATTTAATTCTTTCTTTAATTAACATTTTTTTTTCAAAATAAATTCTACTCACCATGTCATTCAAAAGCAACATGATTTGTTTTTTTTTCTTCTGTGGAGCACAAAAGAACTTAGTTTAGTACTCGCATGCTGTGACAGCCGCTTTCTGTCCGTGTGCGTCGGATGTGTGCTCTCAGAAAACCGTATATCAGAAGTTTCAACTCATATGGTTTAAAACGCATGATTTCAGCGCGATAAACAGAACCAAAACAGATGTTTTTAGCAGGTACGAGCTGTAATGGCGCAGCTCAATTCTGGAAAATGGGGCGGGGAGCAGCAGCTCATCAGAATTTTTGAAGAATTTTCTTGATGCTCTTCTCCAAGTACTTTAAGTGTATAAGGATGTGGTCCCTCAAGATCAATAACGACAAAAAAAGTGTCCTTAAATTGTCCCTATCCCTTTTAAGTAATAGGCTAATCCATTCATTCACTTGTTGTTCTTCCTCCTAGGGCACTGTTCAATGAAGTGCAGACGTTGTTTTTGAGTGCAGCGGCCGCTGACCCCACACAGGTGGACCCTGAGCTGCAGTGTGGTCTGGGCGTCCTCTTCAACCTGAGCGGAGAGTATGACAAGGCTGTGGACTGCTTCTCTGCCGCCCTGTCTGTGATGCCACAGGTTGGTTCTTTCACACTTAAGACTGTTACACCAAGCAAATTAAAACTAAAAAATATGTAGTTTTAATAATCATTCTAATTCTATGAGAATAGAGAAGTCCACACCACAGGTATAACGATAATCCCACTGAGGAACAATATCAGTGGAATCACTCTCAGTATGTTTTTTTTTTTCTAGTTGATGAAAAGAGAAAAAACTTTGACAGCAAGAAAAACATTTACTTAAAAGAGCTTGAGCGACAGATGACAAAACTGTAACGCACGCTTATTGTCCGTTGGTGTGGATGTTAATATAGCTATCTTTATAGTTTTTGTTCTTGGTATGTCACACTAGCTATGTTTCCAGCCAAACTTACAAATTAAAGTCCGCATGAAATCAAAATGGACTTTATTTACTTACTAGCGCACATTGCTAGTCTTGATGTGAAAACTTAAACCGTGCAAGTTAATCTGCTGAAAAAAATAGTTGTCTTGGTCATTTTTAATCAAAATCTGAACATTTACTTCCGCTCTGGAATTGCATTCCTTTGATGATGTCAGTTTGACGGCTTAAGCAGAATATCCTTAAACACACCCCTCCAACCATTAGATTGCTATGAGTGAGAGATGAGGAGCACTAAAATAAAACCACACCCTCTACTCAATATTCCGTTTCAGCTGGAAATACGTCACTACACTGAAATAAAGTTCGACAGCAACTTCCGGTTCATGCAGACTTTAAACTTGTGCGCAAAATTGGAATGTCGCAAGAAACATTTATGAATAAAGCACAGTTTCCATCTAATGAGTTGAAGAGAACAAAATCATCACTTCCTGATTAACTTGCGCTAAATATCATGAAGAAAAATTTTATTTGCTGCAGTAGGAGAAGGCACTGTTGGCTATATAATATTTTTGTATACAATAAATTACGAGCTTCAGAGACAAAAAGCGGCCACGTTATATTATTTTCAGAGCCTGCTGTTTAGGAACGCAGTTCTGGGAGTTAATTATAATAAAGCACTTTGACGAGACTTTGCTCAAACATTTTAGAATGACAAAATTTGCATTTCAGATGCTGTGCAATGAGATTGGTCCATTGGTTGGTCCAGTTTTATCCTATCTCAACGCAAAGTCACATGTCTTTTCTGATGTGCATTAAGGAATTTATTCGGTAAAAGTGTTTCCATCGTAGTTTATGCTCGTGTTTTCTTACAGGACAAGAAATGTATCCTACTTAGTTGAGCGCATAAGTTTTTTTTTAATGCGCATTTTTGAATTGAAGCACATCTTGGCATTTCCATCTAGCGTTTTTTGATGTTGTTTTTTTTAATGCGATATCCCAAAATGCGCATAAAAATAGGTGGATGGAAACATAACTACTGTTATATTCTACATATTGTTCATCAGTATTTTAGTTCACATTCTTCCTTCTCTCAACCCTACATGAAGGATTATCTGCTGTGGAACAAGCTGGGAGCGACTCTTGCTAACGGGAACCGATCAGAGGAGGCAGTTGCTGCTTACAGACGCGCGCTGGAGTTACAGCCTGGATTTGTGCGTAGCCGATATAACCTGGGCATCAGCTGTGTCAATCTGGGTGCGCACAGGTTAGTAAAAGAAGGTTTAACTAGAGTACACATGCCAGAAAGAGCTAAAACGCTACAATAAATGCCATCCTTTTTTTAATCTCTTTCAGGGAGGCAGTAGAGCACTTTCTAGAGGCCCTTTCTCTGCAGCGACAGGCCGCAGGTGATGGAGAGGGAGGTGCGGGTCGAGGACCAGGTGTAGCAGCCACTGTAATGTCAGACAACATCTGGTCCACATTACGCATGGCACTGAGCATGATGGGAGAAAGCTCCCTTTACTCAGCCGCCGACCAGCGAGATCTGGACACACTGCTGGCGCACTTCTGCCAGAGAGATGGAGAGACAGAATGAAGGATGGAGGAGACGAAGGGGCACAGGAAGATAGAATGCGAGTGTGGAGAAGCCTGTTTGGGAGAGAAAAGAGCTAGATTGGAGGTGTACATTTCAACAGAGGGCATGATTTTTGATGGTGCTAAAATGTGAGGAGATAAAAAAAAAGAGAACAAAACGAGTGTGAAACATCCATTAAGCTCCAGCACTATGTTAACGGACAGACGTATGAACTGATGACTGTCCTTAAGAAAAAGATGTTAAAAAGTCCATGGTACAAACTTGCTACGGTTTTTGTAACAAGTTTACGCTTACAGAGAATATGTTTTAATTTTGTTAATCTTGAAGATTACAGTTTTTTTTTTTCCATTGTCCTTATCAAAATTACTCTAATATTTCTCAAATGGGGGCAAATAAGGTCCCTGCACTGTGAGCTCAAAGTACTTGCCTCTGTTTGACACAGAGATGAGGATGTGGAGAAATAACTGTGTTCTACATCACTACGGATCCCATACAAAGTAACAAAGGTGATTTGCAAGCCTTTAAATTATATTGGCAACTTTATTTGTGAGTGACCATAGGGTTGTAAAACTGAAAGAACTTATCAGATATTTGCTTTTGCTGTAAATTAATTTGCTTAATTGTAAATTCCACTTGCCATATTGTGTATTGTATCATAATTATTAATGTTTTGCATATAGCCAATAAAAATTGCTATTATGATCTATGTAATTCAAGCAATAAAGCTTTGACAAATGCTTGGTAACAAAATTTTTTTTATTTTTTTTTACAAAAAAAAGAACAATCATATTTCTAAATATAAGTATTAAAATATGACACAAATAATACATACCTTTTTAATTTATTCAGCTTGCTGTTAAATCAAAATAGTAAAACTTTCAAATGTACAACATGCTTTCTATAACTGGCGAATATGAATTCCTTAACTAATTGGTTAACAGACGTATTTTTGGTAACAGAAGTGCGATTGTGTGCAGTGTGCTTTGACTTTATTTCAAAATACTAAACGTAAGAAGTAAGAATACGTCAACACGCGGCTGTATTTCAAACCGCTGGTACACGCCCAATAAAAATGTATTTTCAGTCTCAGCCAATCAGAAGCGCCGACGGAGGAACTTAGCGTTCAGCTATTGGTCTATTTAAAAATCGCCGCAAACACAGAACCACCCATTTAAATGCTCTCGCTGGAGTCACACACGGTCACGGAGTTTGGATTGGAAGACGACCGAAGCATTTCATTGTTATCTGCTTTTGTACATATATAGGTGTATAAAACTTAAAGTTGATTTGATACAGCTTGAGAGATTAAAAGGAAAATAGAGCGGACTGCACGTGGAACATCTTGAGCTTTAAGGTGAGTTAAAGTTTATTTATTGGACAATAACTTGTATTGTTGCTAAAAACGCGACACGGTAAGAATGGCAACTTCTTTATTTAGCGTTAACGTTAATTGAATTAAGAGTTTTACGTACATATGTTTTAGCAATGTTCTAGCAAGTCAGCGCATTAGGGTTGTATCTGCTTTTTCGCTTCTTACCAATAATGTTTTCATAAACCGTGCTGTTTTTCGGTAGCAAACAGTGTAAAATGGGTGCCGGTGAAAGCAAGCTGTCTGTGGCATCAACACCAAAGCTAGAGCCGAGCCAGCGGCCGAGAGCAGCGCGAGTAGCGAGACTCTCAGACCCGCGTTCACCGTCCTGCGCTATCGACCGCACACCTATACAGGTACAAACACAGCCAACACTTCTTCTTCTTAGTTTTATGGCGAGTTGCAATCTTTGCGCATATCGCCACCTACTGTGCCATTGTGCAATCAGGATTTGAAACACAGCAGCCTAGCGTGAGCGGAAGCCCCGGCTTAGCGTGCGCTGAGGCAGGATAGAGTGAGCTGAGGCAGCGGGGTTGAGAACGGCGCAGCCAGCGGATCCGACGAAGGAGTGGCAACCACATGTGACGACCCCGGGCTGGACTCTGCTTCGTCCACGGTGAAAGCCGATCTGGCGATCCACAGCACTAAGTTGATGTATTCCCTCAGCGACCAGCACAGATCAGCTCTAGGCATGACAAAGCGGATATCGTCCTCTTTTGGAAGACCAAACAAAGTAGTT